AGGATTCCAGGAAAAAATCGGAAGAAAAAGACGATCCATGTGCAAAGATAGAGAAAGCCTGGGAGGGTGGGTGCAGGGGGTGGGGGGACCAGATGTACTGAAAGCCAGGCTGGGCTCAGAGAGGCTGCTCCAGTCCTCAAGGAATGACATTCTGCTCGCCAGCCTCAGTTTCCTTGCTGGGGACAAACCCCACCCACCCCTCAGACCCCGAGGTTGCTGGCTGTCACTCACAGCAGCCAGCTCACAGGGGTCTCAATTTCCAGGAGCTCAGACTGAGACTTCAGAGAAGGCAGAGCGTGTCACACTGGCCAGTGGGGTCCACTCGGGCTGCCTCCTGCCAGAGCTGAGCCAGGCTCCCTCCCACCTGAACGGTGAAGCCGGAAGCCAGCGTGCAGGCTGGCTCAGCCTGAGCCCACCTCGCGGGTCCCCAGCGCACTCCACTCCTGAGGGACCGACCCACTGCCTCACAGGCTCTGTCCCCATGGGCTGGTGCTTGCTGCCCTTCATCTGTCCTCCTGGAGCCTCGGTAACAAAGCGCATGGCCCACCAGGGCTTGGTGGCAACCTCGGGCTCCGGTGCCACCATGGATGGCAACAGGGGAGGACAGAGGACTGGCACACGGCCCCAGAGGAGAGAAACCCTGAATTGCCCTCCTCAAAAAAGGAAGAGACTCACCGATCCCCAGGGTACTAAACGCTGGTCACCCCAGGTGGCCTGGTGCCCCAACTCAGCAAAAAGCCAGGAAGGTGGACCAGAGGAGGCTCAGCTACAAAGAACTTGGGAGCCCACTTCTGTTACCGCTTAGTTTTCCCCTCCTGGGAGCCGCCAGCAGCAGGGAGACTGGAACCCAGAGTCTCTGGCTCCGGGAGACGTGGGGAGCTCTAACTTGCCCCGTGGGGACAGAGGGCCCCAGTTAATTCACAAATGGACCAAACGGTCACGGAGACTGAGCCCCAGCCACGGTCTGAAGTTATTCTCTGCCTTGGGGGGACGGGTGTGATAGGATTTTGAAACTCAGCAAATGAAGCTGGACACTGTCACCCCAAGAGTGTCCCCAGGGAGAGAGTAGGCTGCCGCAGATCCTCGGGAAGTGGGGGTGCTTTGTGACTCACCTGCTGTCTACTGGCCTCCTCGCACTCCCGCACCCCCTACCCCTCCACCCTGTGGATGATGGAGTCGCAGTTGGTTGCCTGTCACAGGCAGGGCAGAGAGTGGGGACAAAGTGAAGGACAGAAAGGGAGCTGCAGAGATGCTGGCCACAGAGGTGCAGTGGGTGCAGGAACCAAGCTGTGGGTTCCTGGGAAGGCACCCTGGGGCATCTTGTTATTTACCTTCTGGGGACTTTGTCATTTATCAACAAACATTGATTGAGTCTTTGACAAGATTTTGGGGTTTTTGATACCAGGGATTGAACTCAGGGGCACTTGACTTCTGAGCCACATCCCCAACTCTATTTTGTATTTTATTTAGAGACAGAGTTGCTTAGGACCCCGATTTTGCTGAGGCTGGCTTTGAACTCACTACCCTCCTGCCTCAGCCTCCCAAGCCGCTGGGATTACAGGTGTGCACCACATAAAATTTGGTAAAATACAATCCTGCTTCAAAGACCAATGCCCATCCCTAGCTCCACCACATACATACTTGCACACACACACACACACACACACACACACACACACACACACGTGCACACACCTTATGCAGGTGGCCAGATAGAATTACATTGATTGAAACTAAGGGAAGGGACTGGGGTTGTGGCTCAGTGGCAGAGCGCTTGCCTAGCATGCTTGAGGCACTGAGTTCGATCCTCAGCACCACATAAACATAAAATAAAGATATCGTGTCCACTAAAAAATAAATAAAAAAGAATCTAAGGAAAGTATCAAGTTGCCCTTGAAACTTAGAAGCCAGAATAAGACAAAGAGTGAGCAAAGGTGACAGTCTATCAAGGCAAACGGATTTTATAATTTCCTGCAAAATCAACCTTTTGCAGCTTGTGATTTTTCCCCCCAGCTATTTTGGGTGCTCTGCAGAGTAGAGCTGAGAAAGTGTGATGTGTTGTCTGGGGTGGGGCACCAGGGCGGACAGATTCTGGGGCCGAGGACTCTGGGAACTGAGACTCAGGAGGAGTGAGGGAAGCAGGTGGGCAGGGAGCAGCGGGAACCGAATGCATCTGCAAGTGACGCCTCAGTCCATCCCAAGGCAGCTCCGAGCTGGGGTGGCCTGGGAGCTGCCTTGAATCAGGGGCTCTGCAGCTGGGGAACGAGCATCTCGGCTCTGAAGGAAGCGTGGGGGCTCCACACATCTGCTCCAGTGCTCCCTATACCCCAGACCTGTGCACCCACTCCTCCTCTGCAGGAGGGTCTGAGTTGGCAGCTGGTGTGTCCCCTGGGAGACCTCTGCTCACCGAGACTCCTGCCACCTGCTTCCCCCATGGGTACTGCAGTGCTACCAGCAGGAGGAGAGTGTCCTGCCCACAGAGCTGGAGCTGACCAGGCCACGAGCACCACTTCTGCAACTTGTCCTTCATCTGGGGTGTTTTGGGATTCGGGGTGGTGTAAGCCAGGAGGGAGGGGTCTTCTATCCCCCACCTGCCCCTGGGATCCTGCCAATCACAAACCAGGCTTTGATTATCAGGCTTTGCATATCATTCCTGATAAAAATTTTCAGAAAACTAAAGATAGAAGGAAACATCTTTATCTTGCTAAAGAGCCTCCACAGTAAACATCACACTTAATGATGCTGACTGAATGCTTTGCCCTTAAGACAGGGAACAGGCAAGGGTGTCCCATTCTTCCCCCCTCCTTCATCTGGACTGGAGGCACTAGCCAGTGCAATAAGGCAAGAAAAGGAAATAAGATTGAGAAGAAACAAAATTGTCTCTACCTCCAAAGGGATTGACTCCAAAGAAAACGCCAAGAATCGACAAAAACCAACAAACCAACTCAACCCTTTGGAACAAATAAGTGAGTTTAGCAAGGTCACAGATATCAGGTTGACATATAAAGGTCAACTGTATTTCTAAAGTAGCAATAAACAATTGGGAACTGAAAGAAAAAAATTCAAGTACCATTAACAATAACTCCAAAACATAAAATACTTGGATATAAATGTAACAAAATCCATGCTGGTTAGATATAAAAATGCAGGTGAAATAAATCAAAATACCTAAATAAATGAACAAAAATACTGCTTAAGGCATGGGGACTCAATGCAGTTTCCCCAAACCTGGCCCTTACGAACTTAGCCAATCTGGCACCTTCCTGAGCCACAGTGGCCAAGGAAAAGAAGTTCAGGGAAGGGCTGGGGTTGCGGCTCAGCAGTAGAGTGCTTGCTTAGCATGTGTTAGGCACTGGGTTAGAGTCTCAGGACTGTATATAAATAAGTAAAATCAAGGTCCATTGACAACTAAAAAAATATTAAAAAAAAAAAATAAAGAAGTTCAGGGAGTACTCTTTGCTGGGGGAGTCCATGGTGAGTTAAAAGTTTCTCTTTAAAAGTTTCCTTGGGGCTCGGGATGTGGCTCAAGTGGTAGCCTGCTCGCCAGGCATACACATGATGCTGGATTCGATCCTCAGCACCACATAAAAAATAAAATAAAGATGTTGTGTCCACCAAAAACTAAAAAATAAATATTAAAAAATTCTCTCTTAAAAAAAAAAAAGTTTCCTTCAACTCCTACTCACAGGGAACCACTGCTAGGAGGCAAGGTCCCGGCTCCAAATTTATTGGCTGAGGGACTCAAGAGTTCGAGTTCCCCCTCCCCCTCCCCCTCCCCTTCCTCCTCCTCCTCCTCCTCTTCTTCTTCCTTCCTTCCTTCTCTCTCTCTCTCGCTCTCTCTCTCTCCCTCTCTCTCTCTTTTGGTAT